ACAGCTATGGGCTCCAACTGCCCAGCCATTCTTGGTCCCTTCTCCGGCTTCCTCAAGCTTGTGCCTTTGCCTGTCTTCCTAAGCTGCCAGATTAACCCCTTCTTGCCTTCCTTCTCTCCTCCCTCTGCCTTTCCCTCCTAGCCGATTCTTCCACCAGCCTTAACCTTGAGCGGTCAGCTCTTGCTCGAAAGCGGTTTACATTACAAGGGCTTTCCAACCGCAGAGCTCTACCCAAAGGTAAAACACCTCCACACCTGTCTCCATTCCATTCCGCCATCTGCCATCGCTGCTGCGGCTTCATTCCCATACGACCAGGGGTGGGATTCAAACTTTTTAACAACCGGTTCTCTGGGGCGTGGCTTAGTTGGTGGGAGTGGCTTTGTGGTCATGTGACTGGTGGGCATGGCTTGATAGTCATGTTATTGGCTGGGCGTGGCTAACTCAATATCACTCACATCGAGGCATGCATCTCCTCGCCCGGCCTCTCATGACTGTGGGGATGCTGCAACAGTCTTAAGTGTGAAAAACGGTCATGAGTCCCTTTTTTCAGTGCCACTGTAACTTTGAATGGTCACTCAACACAAGCAAAGTACCAGCAAAGGAGCGGGGGAAAACTCCAGAGACGTTCCTGAGACAGGAAGTCTAGTCCTGCCAAGAACGTAATAAGGATTAATGGAGAGGCAGTTTCTGTAAGCAACACCAGAATGTTTCCTTCCTGCCTTCCTTACAGGATTAGGCCAGTAATTTCTTCTAACAACTGGTTCTCCGAACTGCTTAGAATGTTAACAACTGGTTCTAGCGAATAGATACGAACTGGTAGAATCCCACCCCTGATTTGTCTCATGATCCCCTTCCCTCACGCCCTGCAGTAAGGTTTTCCTTCTGATAGCCATGTCTTCTGTTTGTCCTGGCTGTGCATCCATGCCTTTCACAGAAGGCTGATAACAGGCATGGGAATGAACAGGGGGTGTTTCCTCCCCTCCCCCAGGTGTGCAGGTAAGCCACTGAAAAAGCTATACCCGTTCCAAGCGGGAAAGAAGATTTCATCAAGACCCCCTTTGAGAAAAAAACTAGATTGTTAGATTCTAGATTCTCTAGAAAACTAGATTAAACCAATTTCTAGTTTAAAATTAACCAGTGGAAGAGTTTGCCTTCAGAAATCTTGGGCACTCCATCAGGGGAGGTTTTTAAAAAAAGACTAGACAGTCACTTATCTGAAATGGTATAGGTCAATAATGGTGAACCTTTTTGTTCTGGTGTGCCGAAAGCGCACATCTGTGCAATGCAATGCACCCCACTCCCCCTGTGCATGCGTGCGCAACACCCCCACCCCCTTACCTGCACTGCATATGCGTGTGCCTCCCAGCTGATTTTTGGGCCTGTTTGAGGCCTTTTTCGGTCTCCCAGAGGCTCAAGGGAAGCCTCTGTAGCCTTTGGAGGCCAAAAACGGGCCCGTTTTTGTCACTTCCGGTTTCGTCACTTCCGGTTTGGGTATTTCCGGAAGGCCCATTTTTCAGCCTCCCCAAGGCTGCAGAGGCTTCCCTCGAGCCTCTGGGAAGCCAAAAAAAAAGGCCTCAAATGGGCCGAAAATCAGCTGGGAGGCAGGCACATGTGTAGTGCAGATAAGTTTGGCTGTGGCTCGCATGCCTGCACAAATGGCTCTGCATGCCACCTGTGCACGCATGCCATTGGTTCACCATCACAGGTATAGGTTCTCCTGCTTGAGTAGGGGGATGGACTAGAAGACCTCCAAGGTCCCTTCCAGCTCCTACTCTACTCTATTCTACTCTACTCTACTCTACTCTACTCTATGCTACTCTACTCTACTCTACTCTAAAAATACAGGTAGTCCTCAACCACCAGTTCGTTTAGTCACCATTCAAAGTTACTGAACAGCACTGAACACAGTGACTGATGACCGTTTTTGACACTTACATCATCCCCATGGTCACATGATCAAAATTCAGATAACTGACAACTGACTCGTGATGATTGCAATCTCCCGGGGTCATGTGATCAATCACTTTTTCTGACCTTCTGACCATGGGGAAGCCAGATGCCTTTAACAACTGTGTGAGTGACTGCAGTGATTCACTTAACAACTGTGGCAAGAAAGGTCATAAAATGGGGCAGAATTCACTGAACTGTCTCGCTTAGCAACAGAAATGTTGGACTCAATTGTGATTACAAGTCGAGGACTACCCGTATCTCTAGAAGAAGTGAAGTATGGAGGAATAGGTTTCTTGGGTTAGCTTAGCTGTAGACCAGGGGTGTCAAACACAAGGCCCACAGGCCACATCCGGCCTGCAATATGGTGAGACCTGGTCCGTAGGGCCATCCTGGAAAATGTAAGGAGCCGGCCCATGTGGCTTCGGCCTGGTCTACCCAATGCAAAGAGGAAACTTGCTAGCAGTTTGGGGAGTGGTGTCAAGCTGGCCACGCCTATCCAGCCAGGCATGTCCACCCAGTCGGCCACGCCCAGTGAGTGGCGTCAAGCTGGCCACACCCACCCAGTCAGCCACACCTGCCTGTTCCCGCCACGGTCAACCACAGCCCTGACGCGGCCCTCAATGAAATTGAGTTTCACACCCCTCCTGTAGACAGACCTCCAGCTGAGATGGCGGACCATATTCTCTGTTCAGTATAAGGCAACCAAGGGAAGCAGGTGTCTTTTGCTCCACTTGTAGACTATGTTGTTATGCCTTCTTGAATTGTAAAGTTTTGTAAGTCCCCAATCCCTGGGCTGCAGTCCACTAGCGGCCCACGGCCCACTCGAAACCGGGCCATGTAAGTGGCAGGCTCTCATGTTCAAACTTCTACTTACGTAAATAGCGGGCACACACGGAACCATCTCCCCTCCACCTCACCCCTCCCACCCATCCCGTCTGCCAAACTACTTAGGAGGGTGATCACTGTTGTAATTCGCATCTCTACATCTAACATCAAAGAGTCAGAAAGTCTTGTATCTGAAAGTTAATTCCCTGAGTTTCTGGGTTGGTTTCCCAAAAGTTTGGTTACCAGGCTAGATAACATCCTCAGCAGAGTTTAGGGGTTCAGCAGAGTTTAGTTCCCCTAAACTCTGATGAAGATGTTATCTGGCCTGGTAACAAAACGTTTGGAAACCAACCCGGAAGCTCGGAGTACGAACCTTCACCCTCATCCTACACCGGAGCTACAGATATTTGCCACTATCACAAAGTCTCACATCTGTTCACGCACATATTGAGATTAAGAGGAATTTGAACTCCTAGTACAGAACGGCAACAGTAGGAATTACAAGCAAGATTTGATGAAAGGACTCCTAGTATTAGAAGAGAGCAAAAAAAAAAAATGGAAACGGTAGAAATGAAGGAGAACTGGGCTGCATCTTCAAAGTACTCACAACTTCTTAAAGATCTAAAACTTGATGTTATTGAAGAGAACATCCGGATTAAAGTCGGTAGAGGAATTAATAAAACCAATCCTGTTATTGGTGACTACTAATGTCCAGTTAGTATTAATACTAATAATACGCATCCCCAGTTAGTATTAATACTGAATTGCTGCTGAACTGCTGAACTGCCAACCTCAGCATCTGAGCCACTGAGGCACCGCATCCCCAGTTAGTATTAATACTAATACTAATAATACTAATACTAATACTAATACTAACTAGGGATGCGGTGCCTCAGTGGCTAAGATGCTGAGCTTGTTGATCAGGAAGGTCGGCAGTTCATCGGTTCGAATCCCTAGCACCCATAATGGAGTGAGTTCCCATTACTTGTCCCAGCTTCTGCCAACCTAGCAGTTCGAAAGCATGTAAAAATGCAAGTAGAAAAATAGGGACCACTTTGGTGGGAAGGTAACAGCGTTCGGTGCGCCTTCAGCATTTAGTCATGCCAGCCACATGACCACGGAGACGTCTTTGGACAGCGCTAACTCTTTGGCTTTGTAACAGAGATGAGCAACTGAGCCAGAAACGACTAGCACGCATGTGCAAGGGGAACCTTTACCTTTACTTTAATGTCCCACTAACCAAGAAGACAATGTAGTGGAAGCTTTCCAGAAGCAAAAGGGAGATAATTCGAAGTGTAAAGTAGCAGTGATGGGAGATATTGTTCAACAGCTGTTAGAAAATAAACCTTCCAAATGCGGTCCTTTCAGGATATCCCTGACAGTCTTGTGGACATCTTTCTTATTCCGAGATGGAGGAATGCAAGAGAACTGGCTATTTTTTATTTGGAACTAATTGATAGAGAATATTAAAGATGAAGAAGTGAATGTAGCAAGAACATTGAGGGAGGGTAACCATATACAGGTGAAATTCTTAATTGGAATAAAAACTAAAATTAAATGTGGTTGAACACACTAACTTGGACTTCACAAAATGGATTATAATAAATTCTGACAATTAGGATTCAATAGCAGAAAGAGCTAATAGGAGGAGATACAAAAGACAGTCTGTATTCAGATAACACATTTAACTTGGTTATAATTTAAAAACACATTAACCAACCCATAAACTTACCAAACAGTCTGGATTTGCATGATGTATTAAGCCCTCCACCACTTATAAACTAACTACAGCTGAGAACCAAGCATGTTGTTTACTAGATTTTTTAAAATCTTATAGAAATATTACCATAATATGGGCTGTAAAAATCAATATAACCACTAGATGGCAGCAAATAATTCCACATTTAAGGATCTCACTGCTGCCTGTTGCTGAGAGTCTGGCATTTTGCAGCTAAGGTTTAGTCGTTCTGGTGAACACATTTTATAAGTCCTCCTCCCGGCCATCAATTTAGCATCAATTTAGCAATCACAATTATTAGTGATTTGGCATCACAGCAATCCAGGGAGATTCTATAATATGTTATGAATCAAGAATGAGGAAAATTATACTCGAAGCCTATGTTGTCTGAAGGGCACTGAAGCTGGGCAGAGTTGCCTTTCAATTTATTTATTCATTTTTGCATGTTTTTACCTCACCCTTAACCTGCATTTATCTGCTCTCCCAGATCCAGAATCTAAAGAGAGAGACGTCCCCCGTCGCTTTTCCTTAGCTTCTTCCATCAACACCACAACTAACACATCTTCTCTAACCAAAGGTATGGGCACCATTAGCTGCTTAACTTCCTGTACATACATTGCTGCAAATACTGCTAAAATTATACAATGGAGCCAGTGTTCCACCTTATAAGGCACAGAGAAATGGGTTGCTGGAATAGCAAGAGTTTTAGTATTGGAATAACTCTGCCATTTGTGTAGTTGCGCCAGATTAACACTCCCATGAAGCAACTCTACTTGCGAGATAGGTAGTCCCTGACTTATGACCTCAATGGGAGGGTAGAATTTTTCATTGCTAAGCACGACAGTTCTTAAGTGAGCTGCAACTGTCTTTACAGTCTTTTTTTTTTGGCCATAGTTATTAAGTGAATTGTATAGGGCCATGATGGCGAACCTATAGAACGCAGAGCCATTTGTGCAGGCACGCGAACCCCAACCAGATGTACCTGCACTGCGCATGTGCACACCTCCCAGCTGATTTTCGGCCTCCCAGAGGCTCGAGGGGAGCCTCTGCAGCCTTGGGGAGGCCGAAAAACGAGACTTCTGGAAATACCGAAACTGGAAGTGACGAAACTGGAAGTGATGAAACGGGCCTGTTTTTCAGCGTCCAAAGGGTACAGAGGCTTCCCTTGAGCCTCTGGGAGACTGAAAAAGTGTAAATTGTCATCAGCATGCTGCGTGCAGAGAAGCAGCCTTTCAGAAAGCCCTTTTTTCCTGCTTTTTTAACTGCAGCTGTGAAGTTGAAAAAAAATCAGGAAATAAAGATCAAGTAAGAGCCCAGGTGGGCGGGTGGGCAAAAACATCAGCAGACATAGAACTGGTTCTATGTCTGCTGCTCTTCAGAGCTACCGGTTCTACAGAGGTGGACAGAACCAGTAGAAACCCACCCCTGCTTTCGGCACACCACAACAAAAAGGTTCGCCATCACTGGTATATGGTCTTCTGCCTGATCAGAGGATTGGACTAGAAGCAGTGGTGGTATTCTAGCGGTTCTGCCGAGCCGGTAGCGCCAATGAGCAGCAGTGACCGATCCGGTTCTCTCTGCCGCTCTGCTTTTGGATTACCAAAATATTAGTTTCTTCTGGAAACCTGTGATTCAGTTTGTTTGTTTTTTATTTATTTGTTTGTTTGTTTATTCATTTGTCAAAAGCTTGCAATATAATAGAAACAAGAATAAACATAAGTTTAAATATAAGAAATAGGAACTAATAATTGGGGACAATAGGACAGGGGCGGTATGCACGCCCCTTACAGACCTCTTAGGAATGGGGTGAGGTCAATAGAGGATAGTTTGAGGGTAAAGGAGTGAGGGGTTTGAGCAGGTGACAACAGAATCAGGTAGTGAGTTCCAGACATTGACCACTCTGTTGCTGAAATCATACATCTTGTTTGTTTCTTTTTTCTTTCTTTCTTTCTTTCTTTGATTTGTATTGCCGCCTATTCACCATGGCGACTCAAGTTTCTGTCATGATATTCAGCATGTTATCAATACTTAACTGAGTTTAGTGGGTGTCTGAAGTTAAGTGAGGTCAGCGCAGTTAGTTCCAGAAAAATCCCAGGGTTAGTTAGCTAGACTGGGAAATAAAAAACACACGACGTTTTTCAGAAGAGTTGCTGAGATAGATAATTGCATGAAATTACAAAGTGTGAGGTGGATGCAGTTACCAAGAGCCGAGTTTGACTCAAAGGGCATCTTTACTTTCCTAGCTTATCTCTGATTAGAAACATGGTAATGCAATATATTATGTAAGTTAGGGGTGTCAAACTCAAGGCCTGCAAGCCGAATCTGGCCCGCGATGTGACTAGATCTGGCCGTGGGGCTGCCCTTGAGACACCAAAGGACCAGCCCCTGGTCCAGCGCGGCCAGGCACTAATCTATAACTTGATGGCTGCTGTTCAGAGTATTGCAGTGTAAATTCAGTGCCAGAAAAGTAAACACAGATGGCTGAGGCTTCATTTAACTTCTTTATAAACACATACAGTAAATTTTACAATACCAGTTGTAGATTAACATCGCTTCAGAGCTTAATATAGAGCCACGCCTAGGCTACTTCTAGTTTCAGTTTCCAAACAGTCCTCATTGGTGACTTAGTTGCTATGCCTATTCATTGGCTGACCTTGTTACCATGCTCTATTTCTGTTCATAAATATACTGCCATCTGGGCTAGGATGTAGTCAGCCTTAGAAGGAAGGAAAGAGATGGGAATGCGAAGGAGAGTCGGAGGGAGGGAGATGAGAATGAGAGGGAGGCCGGGAAGCTGGGTAGCCCCACCTTGGCCACAACCCTGATGCAGCCCTCAGTGAAATCGAGTTTGACACCCCTGATGTAAGTGAACAAACTTTAATGGCTAAGGGGAAAAAAAACTAAGGGGAAATTTAATATTGATCAATACAAAATGTTTTCTTACAGCCAACAGAATATTAAAGGCTCTGTTGCCCTATCCATTTTTAACTTCAATTTTCTACAGTCAGAGAGAACATGGAGACAGAGTTTCTTGCGCTGGAATCATGGTTACTTAGCTAAGGTTTGCGTGAAATGTAATAATTCTTAAAACATTAAGAGAGGAGATCGGTCTCAGCCCAGGTCCCTTGGTAGGAATCCTGTAGTTCTTTCGATAAGCAGAAATAATCGATAAAAACAAACCATAGGGTAGTGTGTTGCCGATCATCTTCTAAACCCTTTTTCCACACCAAGGGAGCTGGTCTGGCATCTTCTAACTCAGGGGTTGCCAATCTTTTGGACCTCAGGGACCACCAAACTCATAATTTTAAATCTGGGGACCAGAAACCCTGGGAAAATCCTCCAAAAAGTCTGCAGAAAAATTCCCTACCTCGTTTTCCTACCAATCAATCATTCTGGATACCAGGATCGCAGGATCTCCAGCTTTGTTCTCGGGTGGAGGGGGGGGAGAGAGACTTTTGGCTTCATGCAAGGAAAACAGCAGAAGCCGCATAAGTCTTTCTTTCTCTCCCCCAAACTCCACCAGAAATGAGTGTTTACTGGTGCAGCCTCTTAGAACAGGAGGCCTTGCAGGGTCCCGAAGATTCATTTCTGGCAGAGTTTGGGGAAGGGAAAGAAAGACCTTTACTGCTTTCCTTGTGTGCAGCCAAAAGCAGAAGAAAGAAGCGGAAAGAAACAGCCCGGTGGCCAAGCCAGGCATGTGGGGCATGTGGGGCAAATCCCCCCCACCCTTTCCCCCCTCCCCTCACTACCTTGTGTTGTTCACAATGCAAGTGATGCAAGCCTTGCGTTCCCACAGGCCATGTGGGTGGTGCAGTTCTCACACATCCTGGATTAATTGCTTTGTGGTGTGCTTTGTGCGTGACATTTCTCTGCGGACCACCAACATTTTTTTGCGGACCTCCAGTGGTTCTCGGCCCACTGGTTGGCGACCACTGACCTAACTAACTGTATTTCCTATTTTTATTATCTGCAAACTTTGCACAGGGGCCCTTGTTCCTGCGGTTAAAGTCAAGAGGCACGAAATCAAAAGCGATCCAACTCCTTTCGGTTTCGAAGGTACAGCTCCCAAATCCATGCATGCTGTTGACTTGTAGATTGTCTTTTCTCACATCACCCGCTAACATTTCAAAGCATCCTCTGAATCGCCATATCAGATGAACGTTGTTGATTGTCCATCTTTGTATATTACCTGTTCTACCTTGTCTGAAGCGGTGTAGGGTTTCCTGCTTAGGAAACTACCTCCAAGGTGCCTTCCAACTCTGTTATTCTATTTCTATTATTTCTATCCTGAAACACTCAAAGGTGCTTTTCCAAGAGGCGGCTGGACTTCTTTTGTTTTCCCTTGAAGACGTTTCGCTTCTCACCTGAGAACTTTCTTCAGAACTGATCAATTACTTAAATCTATATATTATTACTTTTTTAAAAAAAACTATAATCAATCACAGGTCTTCTTCTGTCTCCATACCTCTTATTGTTTTGACATGAAACCCCGAAATGACACGATCAAAGGCAGCCTTAAACCTAAAAAAAAATCTACTTTTGTTCAGGGTTCAAAATTCATTCTACTTTTACCTATTCCTGAGCTTCTCCATCTCCATCGCTCATATTTGAATGAATGTAGTTCTGTCCTCATCTGTCTTTGAGAATGCTAACCCCTAGTGGCTTTAACTGCATGCTTACCTCTAGCGCCAATCTTTTTATCCGTGCTGTGCTTGATTAATGCTAATCTTGTTTGATTTGCTAATCAGTAATCACATGAAATGTGTTGGCAGTCCTTGGATGATATATCATCAGACATAAAAGGGAAATAATTCTGGGTGGATAAATTGATTCTAAACGGTGTCCTGTTGTGACTTTTTGACTGCATGCTTTCCGCGTTCAAAGAGCACTGACCTCTAACCTCTGACAGACTTTATATTCTCTTTTAAAGCCAAAAATGTTAAATTACAACATTCACTTATCATGGAAGAAGAAGGGTGGTGCAGTGGCCTAGAGGTGGATCTCTCGCCTGACAATCAGGAGACTGTTAGTTCGATCCTAGGTACAGGCAGATATTTTTCTCTCTGGGTACATTGAGAATGTATCTGCTGAATAAAACTCCGCATGGGTGACAGGAACGGCATCCGGCCAGTAAACACTCAGCTCCATTCAGTCGCCCAGACTCCACCTGGCAAGGGATTATGGGGCCTTTAAAAGAGGATGATGATTTAGCATGGAAGAGAATGTAAAATTATTCCCGGCACAGGAGAGTTTTAATGTCGCTACTCCATCTAGTGGTAGGAAAGTTCAATTGGTGATACCTCAAGTTCTCCATGGAAATGTCAGGTGCCTTTCTCAAGTCTGTCCCTCTGGATTTTTTGTGACTTCTGGCTTTTCCACAGTTTGATTTAACCATGCGACTATTTTCAACAATAGGATGGCTCTTCTGTGTGTCAATGATAATTAATACCTTTATCTTGTTCCCAGTCCACAAGCAAGATAGATTTACAGGTAGTCCCTGACTTACAACCACAATTGAGCTCAATTGTTGCTAAGCGAGGCAGCTGTTAAGCACCTTTTGCCTCTTTTTACGACTTTTTTTGCCCCGATTGTTAAGTGAATCACTGTGGTTGTTAACTTAGCAGCAATAGCCATAGCGGTAATATAGGTACTCCTCAATTTACGACCACAGTTGAGCCTAAAATTTATGCTGCTAAGTGAGAAATTTGTTAAGAGAGTTTTGCCCCCTTTTTATGTCATTTCTTCGGTACCTTTGTTGAGTGAATCACTGTAGTTCTTAAATTAGTAACATGGTTGTTAAGTGAATCTGGTTTCCCCATAGGCTTTGATCGCCAGAAGGTTGCACAAGGGGATCATTGCATGACCCCGAGATGCTGCAACCATCATAAATCTGAGTCAGCTGTCAGGCATCCAATTGTAAATCACATGACCATGGGGAGGCTGCAACGGTCATACGGATGAAAAATGGTCATAAGTCACTTTTTTTCAATGCAGTTGTAACTTTGAACGATCACTAAAAGAACTTTTGTAAGTCGAGGACTATCTGTATACCGCTTCACAGTGCTTTCTAGCCCTCTCTAAGTGGTTTACAGAATCAGCATATTTGCCCCCAATAATCTGGGTCCTCACTTTACCGACCTCGGAAGGATGGAAGTGTCAGCCAGCCGATACTGACAGGAAGGCCGAGTCAACCTTGAACCCAGTCAGAATCAAACTGCCAAAGTGCTGGCAGCCGGCAGTCAGCAGAACTAGCCTGTTGTACTGCACTCTAACCACTGCGCCACCACGGCTCTTAGTAACAGCGTTCTTCCATGTTAAGCTCTATAAAGAAACTCATTTTGAATCAGGTTTGAATCATGGATTGCCACAGTTTGGGAACAGCTTTTTAAAATGTTCTGTGGAGATTTAGAAGCAATTGGCAGAACCTTCTCTAGAAATATCGCAGTCCACTCCCCTCTTAATGTGACTGCCAAGAGCAGCTGGTCTTGCTTTCCAATTTGTCAGTGTATATAGCAAAGGCACCTACAGGGGAGGCTTCAGTTAAGGAGGTGAGGCTGCCATCTTGATTTTTTTTTGATGCTCTGTCTACAGTCTCCACTGACCCAGAGTAAGTGGCCCCGAGGACACCTGTTTTCCTTAACACAGTCTTTGAAATTTGTCAAGGAAAGTTTGCATGCTCACCATCTCATCTTTAAGATGGATGCCAACCACCATTTTTAAAATTATAGAATACTCTGCTTCCTATCCCAGATGCCTTTGAAAGCACCCTCTTGGCTCAAGCTAACTCCAACACCGTTTCCTCTGCAAGGATGGTCCCCAGATCAGCTTCACAGACAGGTAAAAAGAAATCAGAAGCATTCTTTTTGAGATCAGGTGCGCGGGCACTTGAGGACATCTTTGGAGAAAAAAGATGTGGTGTGGAGAAAATTTATTTGGGTTATGATATGGACTGGAACTCTTTTGCACAAGAAGAAGCCCTAGATTTCTAAGTACGCTCTCAATACTTGACTGAGGTTTGTGCCAAAACTAAGTTGATTGATTAAAGTATGAAAATCATTTTTATTTCTTATTGACCACCAAACATTTTTTTTTCTACCATCAACTTCAGTTTTATTCTATTTATCCATTTTCTGTTTTCTTTTTCCCCACTTTGCAAATCACAAACTCTTCAGACTGTTGACTTTATCTGTGTTGCTTTATGAGCCTAGTTGATTCATGGTGACTTCATGGATTCAAGCTTTCTTGGCAATACTGCTGAAATTGTTTGCTATTGTCTTCTTTTGGGAAGTTTTTTTCCCCAACTTCCCAGGGATGCCCACAGTCTTTGGGACTCTCTGGAAGTCTTCCATCCAAATGTTAACAAGTGGCCAAGCCCCAAAAAGGTCAAGCAGAGCTTGTCCCTTTCAGAACATGTCTCATGCGTTGCTGATATTCTCATCATGTTGTCATGATTAAAAGATTCCACAGAAGGTCTAATATTCCAGTGGTTTGAGTCCTACCTCTGCATGATGACATGAGCTCCCGTCACCTGCCTCAGCTCCTGCCAACCTAGCAGTTCAAAAGCATGTAAATGCAAGTAGATAAATAGGTAACCACTTCGGTGGGAAGGTCACAGTGTTCCGTATTTCACCATACACTTTACACTATGCCATGCTGGCCACATGATTGTGGAAATGTCTTTGAACAGTACTGGCTCACTGGCTTAAAGAAATGGAGATGAGAACTAGCCCCTAAAATCGGCTATGAGTAATGGAGTAAAACCCATAGGGACTCCTTTATGTTTTATCATGATTATGACTTTCAGAAGAAATACCTGTTTTGATTCTGATGGAGCAATCCTCAATAAAGTGTTGCTCTCCAGATATGTTTAACTCCTGACTGAGCCCATATAGGACAGGGCACGATTCTATTTTTAAATCATCTCTTCTTCCCAAAATCCCAAAATATTATACGTGACATGTTTTAGAAGCTGAACTGTCTCATATTGTCAACTATCTAATATTGTTGGGCTGGCCCTTTTAAAAAAACAACAACAATATTCTAAACAAAAGCAACAAATTAGGATCGTATAAGATATAAATTATTTCAGTAAAGGATTAAATTACATGAATAAATAAATGTATATTGTTAAATGCCGCTAGAGTCAGAGGACAGAGAAAGTGGGCTAATCTCATTCATCAAGAACTAAAGAAATAAAAACAGGAATGTAGCTGGATTAAGGCCCTAAGGCTGAGGAAGCTCTGAGCAACCGAAGGCATGCAATACGGATTTGGGGAGATGAATTTGGGGCTACAATTATTATTATTTTTACAAGACTCCTTTTTTTAAAAAAAACAATTTTATTGTTTTTTTTAAAAAACAAACAAAACATAAAAACATCAGCTCTCTTCCGTACATATATACAAACAGTGTGTCGGTTGGTTCATCAGTTTTGTGCATTCATTTCGTAGTCTCAATTACGGTTATGTTACATAATAACTCTTATTATCAATCCAAACTTATATGTCCTCATATCATTATTAAAAAATCATTTGACTATAATTTTATTCATTCATACTTTATGAGATAACTATAATTTAGGTAATTTATTCTATAACAAATCATATAATCATACCAAATCTATCCTAAAAAACACTAAAAGACTCCTTTTATCTTCTCTAAGTCAAATCAGATTTGATTTGACATCTAAAACACAACAGGAGATAATGCCAACGGTTGTGTTCTGTTTTTTGTTTTGTTTTTAAATGAAGGTTGGCCTAGCAGACAGATGCCCTCGTTAGATACATTCGAGGACTTCGAAGCCATTCCATCCAGCACTGAGGACCTCTCAAACTCTTCAGACCTGGAGGAAGACAGCCACCCTTCTAATGTAGGTAACGTCCTTCTGACCTTCGTGCAAGATCTAGACGTGTCAGTTTTGCATAATTCAGGGCTACAGGGCTGTTTCCAAGATAGTTAAGGGGTTGTGTGCTTCAGGGATGTTTATTAACAGAGATAGTTCTTGCTTTCTCCAGTGGAAGCAATTATTGTTTGGAAGAGGTAGCGGTACAAGGAAACCAAGCTGTCAAAAAATACAGTGGTTGGACAATCATCAAAGCTGACACTAGCCAGAGCGTAGAACAACTCGAAGAAGTAGTGCAAGTTCAGAAGATGTGGAAAGACCTGGCCGATAGAGTTCCCAAGAGCCATGCATGTCTGAATGGATAACATTATCACCATTTCTTGCTTAACAACTGTTCAAAGTTACGATAGACTTCAAAAAAAAAAAAACTACTTGTGACCTGTCCTAGTTCTTAACAATTGCCACACTTTCTCTCCTGTCACACAATTGCATTTCCGGGACTTGGCAACTGGTTTTTGCATTTATAACCACTTGCAGGCCCCATGCTGCTATGACTGCAATTTGTGACTTTTGCTGTTTTCCAGCAGAAACTTTAGTGTTAAACTGATGCCAGGAAGGTCCAGGCTCAGATCTGTGCTTAACCATGATTCCTCTCTGGGTGACTTTGAGCCAATCACTTTTTCTCAGGCCAGCCTATGTGAGTTGAGTCCTGAAATGTTCTATGGAATACCTTTTGAAAAAAAATGTGGTAGTCTAAAACAGGAGCTTCCAAGTTTGGCAACTTTAAGACTTGTGGACTCCACTCCCAGAATTCCTCAGCCAACTGAGAGTTGAAGTCCACAATTTTTAAAATTGGTGAATTTGGAGACTCCTGGTCTAGAAGAATGTGTGCAGTAAACTTGCTTTTAAAGTGAAATGAGTTTTAGCTTCAGCCTTAAATACAGAACATTAAGGATGTCAGAGGTATCAGCCATGAGAGTCCAGACAAGAACATACCTAGTAATACCAGCATTAACTGTATTCCTGTTGTCTGACTGTTCTGCCCCCACTACACATTAGTCTGTGTGCAGCTCGACATGCAGCTAAACCCACCTATCTTCCAATAAAACAGACTGTGTGCCTAGATCTGAATGCTTTATTGAAAGAACAGGATATGGTGAAACAGAGGAAAATAGGGATAGATACAATGAGAACCAAATACAAGTTAGGTAGTATTAAGTTACTGCTGAACATAACAATTGATAAATACAAGCAATTTAAATCTCACCAGCAATGCTCTGTGTGGGATTTGGGTTTGTCCTTGGATGACCACGTGCTTCTGCCTTCTCCAAATGCTAAAGGAAGTGGAATCTGGCTTCCCAGCAAGCACTTGGTTTGAGAGTCTCAAAAAGTAGATGAGAGTCTCAAAACGTAGATGAGACTAGAAGGCAACAGCAGTATATAAAGATCTTATTGTGTGGCTTGACACTGACTGTTGTCTAGTCCGTGTTCTTTTCTCCTGTCTCCCAAGGTCGTTCCCACATACCAGTACAGAGATTAAAATATAGTCATTGCTGTACCAAATATTGTAGATCATTTATATTTATAATATTTTTATACCTCCTTTCTATTTTCCTAGCATGGCTTATATTAATGAACATTTGCACTGTATCAGTAAAATACCAGCGGCTACTTTCTGGAATAACTCTCTGTGGCTTGGTTTTATTCATTTTTAGGGATCGAATCTATACCGGGTAGAAGGGAGTTTTGATTCCTGTTTCCCAGACTCCCTCACCTTGGAAGAGGGCGATCTAGTGCAGTTTATTCAGGAAGGAGAGAATGGACAATGGTAAGTACATTATATCGTATCTGCTCCAGAGGTGGGTATTCAGCAGGTTCTGACCAGTTCTGGAGAACCGGTAGCAGAAAGTTTGAGTAGTTCGGAGAACTGGCACATTTCTGACTGGAGATTTTATAGTATCCTTCCCCCGCCACACCCATTAAGCCACACGCACAGAACCGGTAGTAAAAAAATTTGAATCCCATACTGATCTGCTCATACAACTTTTAAATCATAATTAAAAGGGAAAAAATGTTTTCCTTGGGTTCTTGGCTGAATCTTGAAAAAAAAAAACAGAAATTGAAGAAGGAAGAAAGGAGTGATTGTCTGGAAGGAAAAAAAAAACCTTTAATGATAATCGATGAATTTATAATTAATTTCCCAACCTCTAATTGCTTTCTACAAGAAGTATTTTTATGTGGGCTGACTTTACAATCCTATATTAACTCAGAAAGATTTTATGCTATACAGTACCAGCAGTGGCTGAAATGTGAAGAAAAAAAAAAGGAAATTATTTTTTTCTCTTTCCAAACTCAGGTTAGTGAAGAAACTAGTTTCGGAAAAAACAGACTGGATACCTTCCAGCCTGTTACAACCAGCAGAAAGTGAAGCCAACAGCAGTTGTAGAATCAGCAATTCAGGTAAGTCATACGCAAAGTTTTGAAAAGTTTTATGTTTCTAATTTAATTATGCATTCCTAAGCAGTAAAAAAAAATTCTGGCATATCATTTCTTTGGGAAGACAGAGCATTGATGAGCTGTAATATTCTTATCATAATAATTATTAATATCCCAAACGTGATGGGATGCACAAAGGTAAAGATAAAGGTTCCCCTCGTACATACTTGGTAGTCTTTTCCGGCTCTGGGGGCGGTGCTCATCTCCGTTTCTAAGCCGAAGAGCCAGCGCTGTCCGAAGACGTCTCCATGGTCATGTGGCCGGCATGACTAAATGCCAAAGGCGCATGGAACGCTCCTACCTTCCCACCAAAGTGGTCTATATTTTTCTACTTGCATTTTTACATGCTTTCGAACTGCTAAGTTGGCAGAAGCTGGGACAAGTAACGGGAGCTCACTCCATTACAGGTGCTAGGGATTTGAACTGCTGAACTGATGACCTTTCTGATCGACAAACTCATTCTTATCATAATAATGTACGCATTAATATCCCAAACGTGATGGGATGCACATAGGTCCCTGCAATTAACAAACTAGTAACATGCATGGTGTGCATAAGCGCACCAACGTGCCTACCGTCCCTGTCCTATTGTTTCTTTTATTTTTCTTATATGTACCCATTTCATGTATTCATAACTATGCATATACTTATACCTATTATCTTGTAAGCGATTGACAAATCAAAATAAACAAATAAATAAAATAAATAAACATCAATAAGCCCCAGGGCTTTCTTCATCCCTCCTCATCCAGCCCCCCCTGCACCCCCTCAACAAAATTGCTTTTTAAAGCCACATCCAAAATCTTACCTGCCTGGTTATCTTCATTGAATAATCTTTTGTTTTCAGATTCTGCCTTCGAAATTAATAGACCTAAAATTGTCCTTCAGCCATACTTTTTAGAGAAATATATTATTTATTTATTTTATTTATTTTATTTGTCAAGCAAGTATTAGATAACAGGTATAAGTATAAGCATGGTTATGAATACATGAAATGGATACGAATAAAAAGAAACAATAGGACAGGGACGGTAGGCACGTTGGTGCGCTTATGCACACCCCCTACAGACCTCTTAGGAAAGGGGTGAGGTCAATAGTAGACAGTCTAAGGTTAAAGTTTTTGGGCTTTGGGGAAGAAACCACAGAGTCAGGTAGAGTATTCCAGACATTGACCACTCTGTTGCTGAAGTCGTATTTCCTGCAATCAAGTTTGGTGCGTTTTACCTTGAGTTTGTATCTATTGTTTGCTCTTGTATTTTTATGGTTGAAGCTGAAGTATTCATTCACAGGTAGGACATTGCAGTAAATAATTTTATGTACTATACTTAGATCAGACCGAAGGCGGCATAGTTCTAGGTTTTCTAGGTCTAGAATTTCAAGTCTGGTGGCATAAGGTATTCTTCTACAAATAGAGGAGTGTAGAACCCATCACTAACCATAAAAAACATGTAAGGGCCAAAGAAATGAGGGTGCATTTACCAGAATGGGAGGGAAGGAAGGGGCAATGAAATGGAAGATTAATGAAAAAACGCAACTTTATACTTGACTTACAACCATTCATTTAGTGAAACGAATGGCACAGGAAAAAAGTGACCTAGGGCTGTTTTTCACACTTAACGACCGTAGCAGCAACCCCCATGGTCACATGATCAAAGTTAAGGAGCTTGGCAACTGACTCATATTTATGATGGCTGCAGTGTCCTGGGATCAAGTGATCCCCTTTTGCGACCTTCTGACAAGCCAAGTCAATAGGGAAACTAAATTTCACTGAATGACCGTGTTACTAACTTAACAGCTGCAGTGATTTACTTAACAAACATGGCAAAAAAGGCCGTGAAATCGGGCAAAACTCCCTTATCAACTGTCTCACTTTGCAACATAAATTTTGAGCTCAGTTGTGGTTGTAAGTCAAGGATTGCCCGTATTGTGAGCTTCTTTGAGTTGAGGAAACGTTTCAAGGTTGTATTGGTGATTTATCACCTAGAAGGAAACTCCGGCAGAAAATTGACTCTGGGGACAGCTTCCACAAAAGCATCTCTAAAAGTTGTCCCACTTGAGTGGTCCTCTTGATTCCTGTAGCCTGCAATTTTTTTCTCTGGAAATCCACTCCTATTCTCACACCATTCAAAGTGTGTTCATCCCAAATTCTATCGCTAAAAGTCTGTGTAGAGTCATCCAGGTCATGGTAATCCCAAAGGTACTTTTTCAGGACGCAACTGGGCTTCCTTTTGTTTTTCTTTGAAGATGTTTCGCTTCTCATGCAAGAAGCTTCTTCAACTCGGACTACAGGAAGCAGGAGCACTTACTCAGGTGACCCCGAGGACACAGATAAACCTCCAAGTGGCCTCAACGGCACTCTAAAAAGGATGCAAATGACCAGCAAGGAGTATAAATCCTTCCGTTCCTCATCATCCAGTCAGAGCTGAAGAAGCTTCTTGGATGAGAAGTGAAACATCTTCAAAGAAAAAACAAGAAAGTCCAGTTGCCTCCTGAAAAGAACACCTTTGGGACAACCATGACGTGGATGACTGAGCATCTCTACAGACGTTTATCTCTCAAAGTTACATCGGTATTACTGATCCTGTTGGTGCATTCTCATTTCAGATGTCTACAGCGATACCCACAGCTCTGCATCCACAAACTCAGAAATGAAGGTGGAAGAGCTGAACAGAAGTTTAACAGCTGGACAGAAAGCTGGAAGCTGAGTAGACCAGGAAACATCTCCTCAGGGCTCAATCTTCTTTGTTTACTTGCAGATGCTGGACCAAATTGCCTTTCCACCCCCATCCACCCCAAGCTCCAGATTTCACAATTCAATATTTTGTCAACGTGAAACACATTAAAAAAAGAAGAAGAAGAAGCTAGTCAATTTCAAAACCAGTTAAACTTCAGAGGTGTCCAAGTTACCTTAGTGTTTGACAAAACACACTCATCGTATGCTTTATTTGCACTGCATTTTTGAGCGTCGAAAATTAGCCTAAATTAGACAGACAACAACAGATTGGGTTGATATACCCACCCCACTCAGCTTCCGGGCGGCGTGCTGGATTCTTGAAACTCAGATCCTCAAGGTGATCTTCTCTCGGGCAGAATGAAAGGTATTCATTCGCCAGTTTGGATCAGCTGCTGGGGCCCTCGTTTTCCGTGGCTCGATCTACCCACACGTGCTGTTATCTCAAGACAATCAAAACCAGGGGGAGCCCCCCCTTCCCCCCCCAAAAAAAAAGTCAAAGCTGAGTGACGGATGAAGAAAGTGCAATTCCTGAACCTGAGCCAACGTCACACCTTTGCACGACAGCGAAAGGTGTTAACTTGCTGTGGGTTACGTGTAATCCTTTGTGTCTAACAGGGTGTTTTGGATGCTAACGGGAAGCAAATACATAGCACAGGGGATGAGGCTTTTGTGAAGGCAATTCTGGGATGTAACACCGACAAGCCAGCTTTGTCCCCCTCCGGAAGTTTCGCATCCAGTTCTGTCTAATGCTGCAATTCAGTGTTTTACACTTGTGTGGAATGCGTTTGGGCATTGTCCTATGCTGGGCTCTGGATTAGAATACAGAGTTTCTACCCCACCCCACCCCAAATATTTAATAAACCCCCCTACCCCCGTATAATGTCTCTCTTCCCCATCCCTCCCCCGCCCCAAATGAGGTACTTTCGAAGGAGAACGGTTGCCAAGGAGAATGTGTTGTTGCTTGAAAGTTTCTTGCCATTTCATATTTCGGGGTGGGGGGATGGGGGGGGGAAGCATTGCAGCCCTCTGAACAATATCATGAATTTGCCATAAGTATAAAATAAAATCAGCCCGGTTCCATTTAAAAGCTTCAGAGGCTGTCATCCTGCTTAAACAATACGGAACAACATAGTTAGAAGGTCTTTTAGTCTCAAGCGAGAGACGCTATTCCAATGTTTTTCAATCTTGGCCTCTTTAAGGTATTGGACTAACTCCCAGAATTCCACTGCTAGCCATGCTTTATCAACCGCCAAACATTTATTATATGAAAATAACAAAACTTTAATTAATAGCACTATGAATAATAATAATAGCAACAGCGGCAACTATCTGGATAGTCCCATCAACCTTTTGTGGAGGGGTCATTAGTGACCACTTTGGAGCCTTGATTCAGGGCAGGGATGTCCAACTTGTTAACTTTAAAACCTGTGGACTTTCAACTCCCAGAATTCCCCAGCCAGCCATGCTTGCTGCATTGAATTCTGGGAGTTGAAGTTCACTGCTCGTAAAGGGGCCATAGTGTCCCACTCCTGGACTGGTGGCACAGGGGAAGCCTCGTTAATGCTTTCCTGGTGCAAGGGCTCATGGGATACCAGACTTTCTTAAGGAAGGAAGGCAGGAACTTTGTCATCCTAAAAATGGGTCCTGGGGATAAGACCAGTTGAGAAATGCTAGCTGGACAATTCTTTGCTTTCAAGGCTACAAGTCTTAAAAGTTGTCAATGTTGGGGCGCCCGTTTCAGGAGTTTTAAGATTTGGATGGGCTTCCAGATCTCCTGGTATTTTCATCCAGCAAACTGAGCCAAACCGTATGAGACAACAGTGTAGTCTGTGTGGCATAAACTGGTTCTTTAAACCAGGGCTCTCCAACCTTGGCAACCTTAAGACTTGCAGACTTCAACTCCCACAATTCCTCAGCCAGCTATGAATTCTGGGAGTTGAAGTTCTCAAGTCTTAAAAGTTGCCACGGTTGGAGGCCCCTGCTTTAAATCATGCATGCATGTATGATAAGACCGGTAATGAGAGATTGTAACTTTAAAGCAGCATTTGTCCACCTCAGCAACTTTTAAGACGGTTGGACTTCAATTCCCAGAATTCCTCAGCCAGCAGGGGAATTCTGGGAGTTGAAGTCCACCCATCTTAAAGATACTAAGGTTGACAGACACTGGTTTAAACAATGGGAATCCTATCGGGGTATCTTTTAATTTCTGATCTGCTTTACTAAGTACCACATTAATTGACCAGGAGTCACATTGACAACAATCATGAGGCATGTAGATAGAAGAGAGAGAGAGAACAAAAGATTCTTGCATCCCAATTCAGCAAGAGGTTTTCTGTGTATTTGCATTTGTCAAGAAGATGCCTGTTATTACACACTCACGCACACTCCAGGGCCCTTTTGAGTTTCCTTGATCCAGAGACACTTGTCATATTGGTTTGTTTGGTTTTTTTAAAAAAAACACTCACCTTATACTGCCCAATTTGAGTGGCGCGATTTAGGAGGTTGGAAATTTGCAAAAATTGGTGATGAAATACACTTGAACCCGGGATTTAGTACAGTACAACGGATAGATTCCCTTAGAACACACTGTGGCACCTTCTAGCTATATTTGCATTAAATAAATTCCCTAGCTTTCCCATTCTTTCCTTAAATACGCTGAACAGCTTTGAAAAACATCTGGGATCAGAAAGATAGCATGCTACAGGTAATCCTTGACTTACCACCATTCGTTTACCAATTGTTCAAAGTCAGAACAGCGCTGGAAAATGTGACTTCTGACCAGGAGGGGGGCTCACATGACTTTTGCAACATCCCTACTGTCACATGATCAAAATTCGGGTGCTTGGCAAACGGCATATATTTATAAATAGTTGCAGCGTCCTGGAATCACATGATCACTGTTGGCAACAAGTTAATAGGGGCATCCGGATTAAATTAACAGCCATGTGATTCCCTTAACAGTGCAGCGACTCATTTAACAACCATGGGGGGAGGGAAACCAGGCACGATTCGCTTATCAACCACCTTGCTTACCAACAGAACCTCTGGTCTCAATTGTGATCATAAGCTGAAGACTACGGTACCTGTATTTAAAATCTTCTTCTGTACTGTGCTAGCCCCAGAGCTGCTAAATTCTGCTGCTAAAACTCCTGCAAATGTTATTTGCAGGGGCGGGAAAGGAGTTAAAAGAAGAAGGAAAATCAAGATGGCAGCCATGGCCACTTAATCAAAGCCCCACCTCTTTTTATACCTGTCACATAGAAAAGAGACGAGGCTTTGGTTGCATCCTCTTGATGGCTGGCTGCTCTCTTGACTTGGTTATCTCTTCCCTAAAGATGTCCTTGATGACTTGGCCCGGGAACTGTAATTTTTAAATTTGTTTTCCACGTTGAGGATAATGTTATTTGTGGTTCATCGTTGCTGGAAGAGAAGCGGGGAAATCCTGCTTTCTTCCCTTGTTTCTTGTTATCAGGACCGAATGTATGAATGTACTCCAAAATGTGTGTTTGTGTGAAGATGAACTTTCTGTAAATAGACCATTACGAACTGTGTAAAACCAGTCCTTGTTTTGACTTTCTAAGAATTATAAATACCATGTTACAAAACCCATTGCGATCTTTTTCCTTACTTTCAAATGCGACGTGAAGCTGAGATCAATCCATCCCGGAAGATAAAACCAAAACATAAAGACTCAAAGGAGAATCTGGTGTTAATCAACCAAATTCGTCGTTTCTTTTTTTTCTCTTCCTTTTGTTAAATGCAACAAGATTATCGGGAGGGACCTTTTGGCCATTTTGAAAGAAAAATCTCCTTTCTGAGAGCTAAACATTGATTGGAAGGAGTCTGTCTCACAGAAAATATGCAAACACTGCTGTCATCATGAAAACATCGCAGTTTAGCATCCAAAACTAGTCAGAAGTGTGCCATGATCCATCGTTTTGGCAAGTGTCAGGACAGTGATCAGATGCCCAGGCAATTGATTCATTTGGATCCAGACACAATAAAGTTTCCAATAAATAAAGGGATTTTAAGATTAATTATTAGCTCTAGTAAATAGATTTAAAAGCGTGACATATAAACATACACGCAAGCAAGGTGAAATCCAAATCTCTTACAAGGTGTCAGGAGCTCCTTAATAATGACGGCAGAGATACCCCGAAGGCAGTCAGGTTCCACAAAACTCAATTCCCAATAATCAACAACAACCCTAAGATTTTATCAAAACTTGACAAAATGACATCATGGCCCAGCTTTTACAATGACAAGACCGCAAGACCTTGATCTTGACTGAAGGGCACCCGATAATGGGGTAGGAACTGAAAGTGTGAGATTTTCACAGCTTTGCAGCTATGTAAAGATTCTCTCTCTTCTTTCTTCGGCACGCAAGAATTAAAAAAGCAAGCAGGTCAGCTCAGAACTGTAGACTTTTCTTAATACGAAGGAGAAGTCGAAATTGCCACTATAATCTCTTTGCAATAACAATGGTCTTCAGCATTACCATTACATCCATCCATTTAAAAAAATAATTATTAAAGAATCATGTCAGAGTCTTTAGCAGGTGACTAAATCAGAATTATATTACTGACCATTATTTTCCGGGGTAAGGTAACTCCAATTCCTGATAGTATAAATTCATGTTAGGCCTTTGTTTGCTCAGCCAATAAAACTCAGAATATATTTATGATGGCTTTTTATTACGTCTATGGAGATTCTCGGTTGTCCAGGTGGTGGTTGTGCCAAAGGTACTTTCTTTCAAAATGTTTTCTTGTATTGCTAGAAGACACCTTCTTGTCCAAGAAGCTGCTTCAGTTCTGAGTGAATGGTGGAGAATGGAAGGATTTCTATCCCTAGAGCTAACAACCACATGACTGCAAGGAATATAAACCCTTCCATTCTCCATCATTCACTCAGATCTAAAGAAATTTCTTGGATGAGAAGCTAAATGTTTTCTAGCAAAACAAGAAAACCCAGTTGGCTTTTCAAAGCTTTTTTTATTATGCTGGAATGACCATAGTTAACATGCTACGAAAGTGTGAACATTAATGAGCAGTACAACAAAGAGCCCAGTCAAAAGATTATTTCTTATTTTCTATCTGTAACAGATTTTTCTGGTAAGAAATAAATAAAAAGAAGCATTGCTAGG